AGAACATGATATAATGCTCCAATGCCAGTCCAATTCTCATGCCAAACATTGTGTGGAGCCACTATTTAACTCCCACAGAATTTCATGTTTGACCTCTTCTCTTTCTTCTAACATTTTCCTCCACACATGGGATCCTCCTCTGAACTGTACCGCAACATGCATCTCTTTCTCACAATATTTGTTCCATATGAAATTGGGCCACAATGATTTGTTGCTCCTGAATCTCCACCACAGTTTTGTAAATAATGATTTGGAAATATCAAATAGTGATTTTAACCTTATTCCTCCTTCCTCCTTAGGTAGACACATATTCATCCACTTGCTCCAGTGTCTGCTTCTGCCTTCTTCCTTAGTGCTCCAAAAGAATATGGCAAAAGTCTTATGCAGATGCTTAAGGACATTCTTAGGAGGGTCCATAACTGATAGAATGTGAGTAGTTAAACTCTGAAGCACATTAGTTATGAGAGTTGTTTTTCCTCCAAAAAAATAATAATTTGCCTTTCCAAGAGTGTAGTTTTGCCTTTACTTTCTTTATAAGATCAGTGTAGTAAGACTTCCTTCTATTTGTGTAGAAAATCTGACACCCAAGGTAATTAAAAGGGAAGGTACCTTTTTTAAAACCTGCGACACAACCAACTGATTCCACTAGATTCCTTGCCACTTTATCATGTATGTAGTAAGAACCCCTGGACTTGTTAATCAGCTGGCCAGATGCTCAACAACTTTCCCTAAGGAATATGGATCAGTTGATGCAAATATTATTGTATCATCAGCATAAGCCAAGTGGTTCAGAGGATTTGTCCACTTAGGCATTCCAAATCCTATAAACTTCTTGTCTTCAAATAACTTATTCAGTGATCTTAGTAGTACCTCTGCTGACAGAATAAATAGTGATGGGGACAAAGGATCACTTTGCTTGACCCCTCTGTTGGACTTAAAAAATCCTGAAGCCTGACCATTGATTAGGATCGAATACCAATTGTTAGACAATAAGTTCCAGACCATGTTGATGAAGTATTCAGCAAATCCCATTTTCCCTAGCACATGAAGTAAGTAACTCCAAGATACCCTATCATATGCCTTTCCCATATCAAGCTTGATAACCACATTAGCTAGCTTGCCTTTTAGTCTTATATCAGTGACTATCTCTTGAGTGAGTAAAACGTTTTCAAATATGCTCCTTCCTTTCACAAAGCCAGACTGGTTGGGAGAAATTAGTGATGGTAGTATCTTCTCCATTCTGTCATGCAACACCCTTGAAATTACTTTGTTGATAAAATTGCTAAGACTTATAGGTCTTAGGTATGAGAATGCTTGTACTTGTTGAACCTTAGGGAGTAGCACCAGATTTGTATGTGTTATGGACTTTGGCAATGGTGCTCTGGTGTAGAACTCCTATAGCATGTGATGTCTCCTCCCACTGTGTCCCAGCAATGTTAGTAAAATAGACCAGTAAAGCTATCCGGGCCACTTGCACTATCCCCACTCATTGCAGATACTGCATTCTTGACTTCATCTATTGTTGGAAATCTACAGAGCTCCATGTTTTGAGCAGTAGAGATCATAGTAGGTATATTGTTTAGTAATGCAGACCTGGTGATCTGTCCTTCTTCTGTGAATTGCTCCTGAAAGAATGCAACTGCAGCATTAGTAATACATTCTTGATTTTCAAGCCAATCACCATCAGCATTCTGAATCCTTTTTAGTTGCAGTTTTTGTCTCTTCCCATTAACATGATTGTGCAAGAATGTGGTGTTTCTATCTCCTTCAGCAAACCACTTCATGCTTGCCTTTTGTTTCTAATACTGCTCTTCAATGCTAAGATACCTCTTTAGTTCAGCTTGTGCCTGCTGTAAGACAATTCTATTTTCCTTTGTTGGTTCTTCTTCAAAAAGCATCTCCTTAATCCTGATAATATCTTCTCTAATTGCCAGTTGTTTGAATATATCTCCAAAGGTAATTTTACTCCAATGTGATAGGGCAGTTTTCAGTCTCTTCAATGTTTGTTTGAACATGAGAAAAGGGTTACCCACAAAGTCTGCAATCCAGTTCTGCTTTACCACTTCATTGAAAGAGTCATGTGTAGTCCAAAAATTGAGAAACCTAAAAGGTTTAACAAAGTGAGCAGTATCTTCCCCATAATTCATTAACAAATGTGCATGGTTAGACCAGTCCTTCTGAGGTGTTCAACTTCAATACTCGGGAAATGTGAATTGAAATGTTGATTGACAAAAATTCTGTCTAATCTCTTGAATATGCATGCTTCATTGGATCTGCCATTCCACCATGTAAAGGGACTGCCTGTATATCCAGTGTCAAACAATCCATAGGAATTGACACAGAAAGCAAAATCTTCATACTCTGGTGGGTATACCGGTAGTCCTCCTATCTTCTCTTCTTTATTAAGAATCACATTAAAATCCCCTCTAACAACCCAAGGTAGTTCCATATCAGAAGCAAGGTAATACAGATTATCCCATAGCTCTAATCTTTCAAGTGATGAGCATTTTGCATATACAAAGCTCATCATGATATGCTTACCAATTCCCTGATGAAAGACTTTGATTGTTAGTTATTGATCAGTATCTATCAGTAGCTCCCACTTCACAATAGCATCAATGAATAACCAAATCTTCCCATTGATATTTGATAAAGCACTTTCCATACCCAGCCTTCTCCTATAGTTGTGAATGAACCCTTATTTTTGAAAAGGCTCTAACAGTGCTATAATGAAAAAATCATGTTGCTTTTGCATGTTGATAACTCTTTGAAAGGCCTGCTGAGTCTTGACAGACCTTATGTTCCAGATAAGTGTCTTAATCATCATCTAGTTGTTGAGGCTACCTTCTTGGGAAGGAGTCTTGTTGGTGGTAGTATTTCCTTAGCTTGTGTTTCCTTTTTGTCTTTCTTTGCATTTCTGGTTGATAGCCTAGGTGACAAATCTCCTTCTCTTGCAACAACTTTGAAGTTCCCAGCAGTTGATTCATTATCAGCTTCATCTTCCATATGTTTCTTATCAAGCAGAGTGTGATGAATATCAATAGGGAGCTCCTTGTGTGTGATGATATCATGTAGAACCTGATTTGGAGAAATCAATGGCACATTTAGTTGGATCTGAAGGGGAGATCCAGTAGATGAAGCACATGCAATTGGTATTTGTGTAATTATTGTTGAAGCATTCTCTACTACTGTAAGGCCCATCTGTTCATCCCTCATATTGGTAACCTTATCACCTACTGTTTGTAATTGAGAACTCATTGTATCTTTTGAAACTTCTGCAGTAGCATAAGTGTCCTGCTGTCCAGGTAGAGAGCCTAGTAGAGCGATATCAGTGTTTGGTAAGTTCTGCCCTGTTTCATTGTTGTTTTCTTTAATTGTGGCTTGTGATTTGTTGGTGTGTTCTATTATTGTTTTGGTATTTTTTATCTTTAGAGGGTCTAGCTCTATTTGTTTATGAGTTATGTATACCCTCCTGACCTGCATGATCCCAAATTTCTGCAGCATCTCTAGTGGTGGTTGGTGATGACAAAAAAGTCTAAGAGGGTATTTCTCGGCATGAGTGGTTCATTGTAACATTAAGAGTTTCCTTTTGTTTTCTAAAGCTCCTTTGAACCCAATCAATTATATTCTCCTTTGTGGCCCCACCTTTTGTCCCAACCTGAGTAGTTGCATTATTTACAACACTCCTATTATGTGAAGGACTTGAGATAGAATTTTCATTATTCGAGATCTGTTGATTCTGCAGTTTCCCTAACTCCACAGTGTCCATAATTTGGATTTCATGCCGTCTGTTTTTTTCTTCCAATCCTTGTTGATTGTGGGTTGTATCTTGAACTATGTTAGTTCCTTTGACTTGAGGACTGATAAATTCAGGGGATTCAATGTCAGCTGCATGACCATTTGAATAACATTATTGAGTGGTGTTATCACTTGAATTGTCATTCCCAGTAGGAGGAAGAGCAACCTCCTTTGAAAAGCCTGCTTGATCAGCCTTTGTTGCATTCTGATGACCCTCTATTCCACCAGTAACTTCTCAAGCTTTTATTGTAGTGTTTGTAATGGGAACTGTCATAGGAACTATAGCAACTGGAAGATCTGTTTGGGTCTGTGTACATGTGGTGTTGTCTGCCTTGGTCATATTTGCATCAGGTACTTGTGTTGCTGGAAGTTTGGCTTTCTGATTCTTGCTTCTTTGGTTCACACCCCTGAATTTTCTTTTCCTTTGAGTATGCCATTGATCCTTGGGATGGTTATCCCTTAGTTGTTGCTGATTTGTTGCCTTGTGATCTTATCTTTGCTTTTGTTCCTCAGTTTGGTGTTGTACCCCCATATTTTGTTTTGAAATTTGACTATTCTAGGGTATTATGGGTTGTACTTGGTGTTACTGTGAACCATTGTTATTAGTATCCCTGACTGTAGTTTGGTTGTCATTGTTGTTTGAGGAGTCTGCAACAATTTTCTTCTTTTCTTCCTCATCTTTTTTCCTTGTGGAGCAGTAGTAGGCTTTATGTCCCAAGTGTCTGCAGTGAAAGCAGTAAGGTGGAAGGTCTTCATAAACAACTTCTAACCATTGGACATCCCCATTGACATCCTAATCCTCATCAAAGCCAAGCCAAACATGATGAGGCCTTGTTTGTATTAAATCCACTTGCATCCTTACTTTGGTAACACTGCCCCTGATCTTTTGAATTGAAGCAAGGTCAAGGTGCAGAATCATCCCAACTGGTGATAACAAAACTGACAAGACCTCTCTATAGTAGAAATGCCATGGAAGCTCTAGGATGACAATCTAAACAGGGATAATAGGATTATCTTCATTTGGATTAAAGGTATGTGTCCAAACCTGTAAGTCCATTCTTTGCCCCTGAATGTACATGAACCTTTTTGTTCAGATAGTGGTGTGATCATACTCATTGTAAAGTTCTATGTAAACCGTTCTAGCATTAAAATGAGCTATCTTAACTCCTTCTCTAAATTCAGTTTGGACAATGAAACTTCTCCTAATCTTCTCCATTCTTGGCATTGTGTTTAGAAACTTGCCTACAATTGTATACTGGCACCTGCTTGCAAGGGTGATCATGTAATCCTTTCGAATGAAGATGACTGCAGGCTGGCCCTACTTGGTAGTTATTCTGTGACCTGTGAACTCTATTGTGGGCAAGCTCTGCAGCCTGCCTTGCTCGTAACTCGGTAGCTAGAGATTGTGTGACAGTAGGAGGTGGTGGTGTAGGATAGGAAGGTATTTTAATTGGTTGATTATTATTGTCACTTGGTAATGATGGGGTAGCTGTTTTAATGTTCTGAGGCTGGTTGTTTTGGCTACTGAAAATGTTTGGTTGCTTTGGTTTGTTAGAAGGAGCTGTAGCAGTTGGTTGTGTGTCTGCAGGGGCTGAAGCAGGGGATTGACTGTGATTTTGTGCTTGAGAAGGAGTTTCTTTGAGAGAGGAGGTAAGAATGTGGGTGTTCATATGGTGGTAGGTACCTTGTTTTTTATGGTGAGCAGTATGCATTTTATCAAAATTGGTTGATATTTTAGGAAAGGTCGACGGTGTTGGTCTGCGAGTGAGCTGGGGCATTGTGGGAATATTTACATTATTGGTTAACACATCAGATGCTGTAGTAGCTATTCTTGCCTGTTCATGAGATACTATAACATTTTGGCGGGCTAGTTGATCATTGGACAAAGAAGCTGTAGAGAGAATACCTGAATGTGACAAATTTGATGACTTTGGAACTGGTTGGCATTGATCAAAAGGAGTAGGTTCAATTGCCTTGTCCTTACCATCAGGTAGCTCATCGACTGGTTGTTGACAAGGTGTAGGTGCAGGAACAATGTTTTCCTTCAGCAGCGCTGCAATATGGGTGTAATTTGGTCGAGCACCATTGTTCTCAAACTGTGATTGAGATAGGACATCTCGATGATGTTCACCAGCATTAATTGGAAATTTTTCAGACAATTGAATCCTGTTGCTTTTGTTTGAATTAGTTGAGGCATTTTGTCAAATAGGCTTAGTGGAGTGAGTGAAAGCTTTTAATTCTTTGATAGATGTGGGAGTCTGGTTGATGTATTGGTGATTTTCTTGGTCGGAGATATTATCCAGATGCGCAGAACCCATTTCACATTGGTTTGGATCCGTGTGGATACCTTCATTGACGATTTCATCAGATATTTGGTTGCGACCAGTGACAAAGCATTTCCAATCCCCAATTTCCACTGGTGAGAGCTCTAAATCTCTATTGGGAGGGAGTGTTTGTGTTGGAGAAGAATTTCCCATGAATTGTTGTGGTCGGATAGGCCCAGCGTTAATCTGGGCATTGATTGAGGATTCCAGGCGATTCGCTGCAATAGTAAGCCCATCACCCTGTTGTAAAATCGCAGCTTCATGTTTAGAATTTTGGGACGGAACCAACTGGGGGTTATGCGTATGAGGAAGGTGATTCTTTGGGACAAATCTGGGGGAATTCCTCTGCCTAATGGAGGATTGAAGGCCATAAAGGTACTGTAATAGTACTGTAGAACAAAATCGCCTTGTGTTAGAGAGAAAATTTCTCGAATCTTACCTCTTGGATGAAGACCTTGTCTTGGTTATATCATTGAATTGGAGATTGAAAAAAAAAAGAGTATCAAGAATGGAAAACCAAAAGTTTCGTTCCTTCACATGCTTAAACTTGAACTTGAATAAGTTGTGAGTTGTGGAATGGAGCAGCAATTGTTGAACCTTACATCAATCATATCAAATCTCTTCATCATGGCCTCAAACATTTTTTTCATGTTGTTGGAAGATACCTCCCCCATATTGAACTTTCCTACAAAATGAACAAACAATTTAGTGATAAAAGTCTTTACCATGTCGCTCCCTTAGTGTATGCACTCAAGTTGTATGTCACTCAATCGCTCGTGTTTCACTCTTGAAAATTGGCTTTTAATTCTCTCTTTTAATCTCACTCACTATAGCCTTTTTCAACTCAAAAGTTAAAACTCAAAGTTGTCTAAAAAACTAGTACCCAAGACTTTACAACAAGTCCCTTCCGTCTTCGTGATGGAGTGGAATTGATGTTTAAATAAGAATAGACAATTTAAGCAAATTCGGACTTGAGCTAAGAAAATTCACAACAAAATAAAAGAGAAAAAGTACAAAAAAATAGCACGAAATAACTTAAGAACACAAAAGACTAGGTATTACTTTATATAGACTAATATTAAGCTAATCTAGCCAAGAATGAACAAAAAAATGAAGTTAGAACACTTAAAATGCAATTGCAAAGTAGCTGCAATTTTCAGCAGGTTTCAAGGCCTCTAATCTGATGCACTACAACTTTCAGATGAATGAAATAGGTCCAACAATTTGGTGAGTGTAAATCTCCCACATCAATAAGGTATTGGAACTAGTGCTTCTCCATCAACTCCTTCTACTCCTTTGGATCCTAGTCTAATGCAACAAGGGATCCATGTTCAATCTACTTATGCACAAATGAGGGTCAATCCACAAAATCGCCAACCACCACAAGAAGAGAACATCAATCATGAGGAAGAATAAGATCATGCTCAAAATGCAATGAGGCAACAAGCTTGGCAAGGTTATCGACAACCAAGATACAACCATGATGAGCATGAAAGAGGGTTGAACACCATCAAAATCACTCTTCCACCTTTCAAAGGAAGTAGTAACCCAAAAGAATACTTGAATTGGGTAATCAAGAGTGAAAGCATCTTCCAAGTTAACAATGTGCCTAACCCAATGAAGTTCAAGTATGTCATCACCCAATTTGAGGGATTTGCCTCTACTTGGTGGGAATCATACAAGAGGCAAAGGGAACAATGACTACTTGATCCTATTACAACTTGGGATGAAATGAAAGGTTTTATGAAGAAAAGGTTTGTACCGGATTACTTTCAAGAAGACATTCTTTCAAAATTCTACACTTTGAGGCAAGGTAGTAAGAATGTTGATGAATTCTTTGAGAAGACAAGGTTGTGAGCCAACTTTTATGATAAAAAGAATATTATTGTTTCAAGATTCCTTGTGGGGTTGAACAAGGAAATTTCTTCTTCTATGAGATTGCACAAGTATGATTACTTAGAGGATGCTTACCATGCGGCTTTGAGAGTTGAAAAGGGGCTTAATGGTGAGAAAATATACAATTCCAGGAGCACTACTTCTTCATGGAGCAAGGGAAAAGCCATAAGTGCCATGGCCTTGGTCATTACATGAGAGATTGTCCAAACCAGAGAGTTTAACATTGCAATGAAAGATATAGGATATCAAACGGGAGATAGTGACCCTGGTAAAGATGTTGAAGAGAAAAGTGAAAGTAACCATGGAGAGTGTGAAGAAGAAGACCCGAAGCGCTAGTTGGTAGTAAGAAGACTTATGGGTGCACTTGCTAAGGAAGAACTAGATCAAATGGAGAATCTTTTTCATGCTAGATGCAAGATTATGGGAGATGTTTGCTCAATGATAATTGATTATGGAAGTTGTGCAAATGTGGCAAGTGCATCTTTGGTAGAGCAATTGAATTTTCCTACAAGGAAGCGTCCTACACCATATAGACTACAATGGTTAAATGAGTGTGGGGAGTTCAAAGTGACAGCTAGTACTGATAAAGTTCAAGATCGGAAAGTATTGTGATGAAGTTTGGTGTGATAAGTACCAATGCAAGCTTGTCATTTGCTTCTAGGCCGACCTTGGTAATATGATAGAGAAGCAAAGCATGATGGAAGAACTAATAAGTACTCTCTTGTTAAAGATGGACATAAATATACTCTTTTACCTTTGACACCATTTCAAGTGAGTGAAGATTACAAAAAAAATGAGAGAATTGAGGAAAAAAGAAAAGAGTGATACTTCAATAGAGGAAAAAAGTTAGAATAGTGGCACTTCAAGAGAGAGAAAAGTGAAAAATAGGGAAAATGAGGGAAAGGTTTCACTTTTACAAAATAAGAGTGAGCCTAGAGGGAAATAAAAAGTGAGTTTGTTAAATAGTCATCAAGATCCTTTGAGAGAGGTTGAGGATAACCGTTCTCTTATACTTCTTAGGAATAAAGATTATTTTTTGACTACTAATGAGCTAACCCCTTTTGTACCTAGTGAAGTTTCTACTATTTTGCAAGGTTATGAAGATGTCTTTCCCGAAGAGCTACCAAGGGAACTACCACCTTTGAGGGGAATATAGCATCAAATTGACTTTGTTATGGGATCTCAACTTCCAAATCAAGCGGCATATAGGAGCAATCCGGAGGCTACAAAAGAGTTGCAAAAGCAAGTTGATGACCTTCTTGATATGAGTTTTGTAAGGGAAATCTTGAGTCCTTGTGCCGTTCCCGTGATCCTAGTGCCAAAGAAAGATGGAAGCTGGAGAATGTACGTAGATTGTAGGGCTATTAATAAAATCACGGTAAAGTATTGTCATTCTATACCTAGGCTTGATGACTTACTTAATGAATTGAGTGACTCTCTTATCTTTTATAAAATTGACTTGAGAAGTGGTTATCACCAAATAAGAATGAAACCCGGTGATGAGTGGAAAACCACTTTTAAAACTAAATTTGGATTGTATGAATGGATGGTTATGCCTTTTGGACTTTCTAATGCACCTAGAATTTTCATGAGGCTTATGAGCCATGTGATGAAATCTTTTATTGGAAAGTTTGTTGTAGTTTACTTTGATGATATTTTGATGTATTCAAAGTCATTTGAAGAGCATGTTGAGCACTTGAAACAAATTTTTTATATTCTTAGAAAGGAAAGATTATTTGCTAATTTTAAAAAGTGTACATTTTCTGTTGATAAAGTGGTCTTTCTTGGTTATGTTGTGAATGCTAAGGGTGTAAAAGTTGATGATTCTAAAGTAGAAGCCATTAGGAGTTGGCCCACACCTAAGTCTATTGGAGACGTAGGGAGCTTTCATGCGTTGGCTAGTTTCTATAGAAGGTTTGTTAGGAACTTTAGCACCATAGCCGCACCCTTGACCCAAGTGATTAAGAAAGATAAGGCCTTTGTTTGGAAAAAAGAACAATAGGAATCTTTTAGGGAGTTGAAAGATAAACTTAGCAAGGCACCACTTCTTCAACTTCCTAATTTTGAAAAGACTTTTGAAATTGAGTGTTATGCTAGTGGAGTAGGTATGGGAGCAGTTTTAATGCAAGATCAACAACCCATAACCTACTTTAGTGAGAAACTTAGAGGAGCGAGCTTGAACTATTCTACATATGACAAGGAGTTGTATGCCTTAGTTAGAGCTTTATCAAATTGGCAACATTACCTTTGGCATAGGGAGTTTATGATTAAAACCGACCATGAATCTTTGAAGCACCTTAAGAGCCAAGGTAAATTAAACAAGAGACATGCTAAATGGGCAGAGTTTATTGAGAAATTTCCATATATGATTCACTTTAAGAAAGGCAAAGATAATGTGGTCGCGGATGCTCTTTCTAGGAGGTTTATTTTAATGAACACTTTGACTTCTAAGTTGATGGGATTTGAGAGCCGAAGAGAACTTTATCCTAGTGATCATGAATTTAATGAGCTTTATATTAAAAGTAATCAAGTTGAGGCATATAAGAAACCTTATAGGTTATATGATGCATACCTTGATAAGCAAGGATAATGAATTAACCAAAGTAGAAAAATAAAAGAGATTTCATAAGTTTGATGGATTCCTATTTAGAGATGGTAGGTTGTGTGTGCCTAGGTCCTCTTGAAGAGAAATACTTGTTATAGAGTCACATAGTGGTGGTTTAATGGGACAATTTGGAGTACCTAATACTTTAGATATATTAAAAGAGCACTTTTATTGGCCTAAGATGAAAGTTGACGTAGATAAAGTATGTGGTTAATATGTTGAGTTCAAGCAAGCTAAGTCTAAGGTACACCCTTTTAGTTTGTATACTCCATGTCCTATTCCTAATGCTCCTTTATTTGATGTTTCTATGGATTTTGTTCTTGGTTTGCCTAGGACTAGAAAATGTAGAGAGAGTATTTTTGTGGTAGTTGATAGATTTTCTAAAATGACACATTTTATACCATGTCATAAAAGTGATGATGCTACCCATGTTGATACTTTATTTGTTGATCATGTGCTTAAGTTGCATGGAATGCCAAAAACTATTGTTAGTGATAGGGATTTTAAGTTTCTTAGTCTTTTTTGGAAGGGTTTGTGGGGTAAGCTTGGCACTAAATTATTATTTTTTACTTCTTGTCACCCTTAAATCGATGGTCAAACCGAAGTTGTCAATAGGTCATTAGAAAATATGCTTAGGGCCATGGTTAAAGGAAAGCTTACTTCTTGGGAGGAACAATTCCATTGATAGAATTTGTGTATAATAGGACTATTCATTCATCTATTAGCATGTCTCCTTTTGAATGTGTTTATGGTTTCAATCCTTTAACTCTTTTGGATCTAACTCCTTTGTCTCAAGATGTTGTTGTGAGTTTAGATGCTAAGACAAGAGCCGAAGCCATGAAGAAAACTAACAAGAATGCTAGAAAATAACTGGAAAAGATGAACCAAAAAGCGGCTACCAAAGCCAACAAAGGAAGAAAGAAAATGGTTCCCTCACAAGAGAAAGAACAAGATTCTACCAAGAGGAAATGGGCCTTTTCAAATTCTCGAAAGAATTAATGAAAATGCTTATAAAGTTGATTTTCCTAATGATTTTCAAGTGCATGATGTTTTCAATGTTAGTGACTTATCTCGTTTTAATGTAGGCGATGTTACAAATTCGAGGACAAATATTTTTCAAGAAGGAGAAGATGATCATATTATGCCTATGCCTTCAAGACAATTCACTAGGAGTCAAGCCAAGGACCTTCAAATTATTGGGATGCATTTGATGAAGTTGGAGTATTTGAATGATCTTTTGAAAAAGCCTAATAGAGTCTACAATTTCATCCAAATGATATTCAAGGATGGTGGCCCAAGTTCATGTGAAGAGGCCCAATTACACGTGAAGAGCCCAAGCACCTAAGGATCTTTTTAGTCATTATGTAGAACTTAGTATAAATAGAAAGTATTAGGTCATCTTTCATTTCTTAGACTATATTGAATATTCCTATGTATTTTGTGAGCTTGAAGGTAGACTTGTGGTTGCCTTTGAACTAGCCCTAGAATTTGCAAGAGGTTTGTCTTCCTCTTGAGGATTCTATTAGTATGGGTGCTTTTGTTGATTATATTAGGGGTGATTAGAATTTTAATTCTAGTTATTTATAATATCTCATCAATATTTGTGTCTTGCTTCCCTCTCTTTATTTGCTTTTCAAGTCCCAATTCTTGTTCTCGCATTTTGGTTGTTAATAAATTGGTCAATGCATCTGCTTCTACTTTCTCTTCTCTGAGGATGTGTGATTGACCATTCCCTGAATTGTGCAAGCAAAGTTTGAACTTTAATCACATACTGTTGCATACGTTCCTCCTTTGCATAGAAAATCCCATATACTTGGTTTACTACCAGCTCGAAATCACATTTGATTATGACCTCAGAGCCAAGTCCTCGGACCAGTTCGAGTCCTGTAACCAAAGCCTTATACTCGGCTTCATTGTTAGTTAACAGAACAGTTGTAATGGCCTGCCTCAAGGTTTTCTACGAGGGCATGATTAGGACCACCCTAAGCCCGAACCCTTTCACGTTGGAAGCTCAGTCTGTAAACAAGGTCCAAACTCCTGATGTCATCTCTAACACCATTACCGCTTCTTTAGCAGCCAAAGATAATAATCCAGGACTGAAATCGTCCACAAAGTCACCCAAAAATTGTGATTTGATGGAAGTCCTAGGCTTGTATTCAATATCAAATTCACTAACTTCAACTGCACATTTGGCCAACTGGCCTGACAATTTAGGCTTGTGAAGAACATTCCGCAAGGGAAAGATTATTTCAATGGCTATCGGGTGGCACTGAATGTAGGGTTTAAGCTTTCGAGAGGCGACTACGAGAGTTAAGGCCAACTTTTCGAGGTGCGGATAACGAGTCTCTGCTCCCGACAAAAAATTACTAACATAATAGACAGGAAATTATGTACCTTTATCCTTCCGGACTAGAACGACACTTACCACTACTTCTGAGACCGCAAGGTATATTAGCAATCGTTCACCTTCCCCCGATTTTGATAGTAACGGGGGGCTTGATAGATAATGTTTCAGGTCTTTTAAGGCCTGCTGATATACCGGAGTCCATTCAAAATTGTTGTTATTTTTCA